CAGACTAAAATGAACTAGGAAGAAATGCCAGGCGATCTGCTTCTGAAAATCAGCCAGTGAAAACCCTACGGATCACAATGGTCAGGTCCAAAACCAATCATGGGGATGGCGCAGGACTGAGCCGCGTTTGTCCCATTGTGCGCGGGGTCACCGTGAGTCTGGGGCCGATTTGGCGACCGCGAATAACAACAATCAGAGGCTTTATGGAAGGATTCTGATGTTCAAACAGCCCACTTGGCCTTGGAGGATGATTCCGGGGGGCCATGAGCAGCACCTCCAAGGGCACGAGCATGGGTGCTGCACCCCAAGTCGGGAGGCTGAGGCCTGGCAGTGGAGACGGAGGTTGAGACGTGCAGGCCCACACCTGCATCCAAGAGGCTTGACCCCGATATGGAGGAGGAGGGAATAAAGGCATAACGGCCCCATGTTGCTGATCTTGGCTGTTAAGTGGGTAAAGGCCCTGTGTTTATTCCTTCCCAGCCAGAGCCCCTAGACTTGATAGGTAAGGAACTAAGAGTTAGGACAGTGAAGAACGACATGCCCGGCACAGGTCACCACCGTGGGTGCCCAGTGACACATGGAGGGTGGCCACATGCTGCTCTCGGATCTGGATCATGTGTCACAATCGGGAATCCATGATCGGGCTCCCCCTCGCACTCCAGGCCTCTGGAACCTTCTGCATGAGCCGTCCAGCTCTCTCTCAGGCTGCTCCATGGTCTTTCCCAGCCTCAGGGGACGCTCCTTTCCTCGTCTCTGCAGAAGCCCTGGCTCCTTTTCCTGCGAGTCTGGGCTCTTCCAGTGACCTGCCAGTCTCGGCCCACCCCCTGCACTGACCTCTAGCCTTTGTGCCCTGCGCCATCCATCTGTGTCACTGTGGATGATCACACACTCTTCCTGTCACTCGTCTGTCCTCCAAGCCGTTGCTCCAGCTGTAAGCCCTGCCAGGAGCGCCTCTGCCCCGTCCCCCCGGCCAGAATCCTCCAAGACTTCTACTTACGGGACCACCCCGAAGGGGGGTGACGACTGGAGAACAGAGGTGACAGACAAGCCCCATGAACCCAGCAGCACTCAAGGGATGCATCGCCTCCGGGCCCTTCCAGCTCTGGGCTGTTGAAGTCTAAACACTTTCCCCGAGTTGGATGCTGTGTTTTGTTTCGGTGGCGCCGGCGAGGCTGGCACGGGTGCGTGGTACTGAAACAGTATG